GTGTGTGTGTGTGAGAGGATTTAGGTTACAGACTGTTTATGATGGTGATGCTCGTCTTATCATCGCACTCACATAATAAATGGTATTTAAGCCCCTCCCCCCGTAGTTTGATTATTTTTGTATTTCATCCTTAAATCCAAAAACACACATGCTTTCCTCTGCCTGAACCTTAGATCGATCCTCCACAACATTAAATAATACAATTCTCATCGTGTTGGTCTGCAGAGACTTATTCAAGATGACATCCCTTCTCCTTCACTATTTCAACACTTTCCCTGGATTTCCCTTTTTTTGTTTTTTTCTTGTTTGTTTGTTTGTTTGTTTTGTTTGTGCTTAGTTTTATTATTTGCTTCGAGCCCTGTGTACAGGAGCTGCATGCTAAAAGATCTTTTGTTAAAAGGGTTGGCGTAATAAGCAAATGCTTCAGCCAATACCTTTTGATTAGCCTTGTCTCATGCTTTCTTGCTTTGTGGTAGATCTTTGTTCTGTCTTCACTGAGATATTTGAATGCTAATCAATAAAAATCAATCAATCAATTAAAGAATATCGAGGTTGCCATGACAATAAAGTTTATTATTGTTTATTATTACGTCATCTGCAAACCAAGTGTTAGCTGTCAAACATGAGCGATGGAGGACTGACACTGAGCGAGTCTCTTATTCCTGTTTCTCATTTTCTTATCAATATAAAGTTAGCCGTGGCTAACGCTAACAGCTAGCAGCCAATGATGGAGAGCTTGTTCATCCTTACGCAGTTACGTCATTAATGTGAGCTCAGTCACAAACGTAAAATTACCTTTAAGCCAAAACTGTTTTTATTAAATCATTACAATTTCTGAAAGTTCATGAAAAGACCTGAAGAAACCGTCGCAGTGTGAAATGCTGCACTAACGGACGGGTGAGTGTGGAGAGAGCGGAGGTGGACCTGCACACACCTGCGGTTTGTTCTCAGCCACGCAGAAACCTGCAGCGAGGAGCCGCAGATAAACCTCACAGCGAGGCCCCGGGCCCCGGCCTGCAGCTTATCCGGTAACTAGCAGGAAGTGGCTGTTAATGAGTTCCTCGTCGGTGTCTCACGTCCGACAGTTTTCCACCTCGGAATGACAGAACAGTGAGATGATGATGGGTCAGCGCGACCTCACAGGCCTGAAACACAACAGCATCGAAATCAGCCGTGCAACGAGGATCCCGCCCTGCTGGAGGGGGCGGATGTGTTAAATACCGCAGGCCCAAAGAGCTGAACGCAGATCTGAAGCCGTCAGCGCTCAGAGGAGGATGAGATCTTCATCATCTTCATCACAGTCATGTTGGTCTCGGTCTTTACTGCGAGGAAACTGAAGAACAAAAACACAGACATCTGCCGAAACGCTGCAGATTTTATTCACGATAAAGCAGAAAAAAGTTTTCCGATCATTTATGTTTCATGTTGACATCAAACACATCAGCTGCTGAATAATCTGCGTTTCCCGCTGACGCGTAAAAGTCTGCTCACATCAGGCCGCTGCGCTCTGACGTCATGTCCTCTACGACACTTCGTGATGTATGACGTTTAAGTATCGCTCACTCATAAACAACAAACTGTTTCCCCCCGAGGTCAGCTGCAGGAGGTCCCCACACATGCATGTAAACCAGTTCACCAAACTGGGACACAAGGATTTTCTTCGCCTCGTTTCTATTGGTCATGTGCAGAGATGGGCAGTAACACGTTACTGTAATCCGATTACTTTTTTCAAGTAATGGGTAAAGTAAGGGATTACTATTGCAAAAAAGTAATTAGATTACTGTTACTTCCCCATAAGCACGCAGCATTACTGCGTTACCGTGATTTTGTTTGTCAGAGTGTCTCATGAGTGACGTACGAGCGTGCGGCGTCCGTGGTTACAGATGTGTGCAGATCAACAATGGATAACATGGAGTGATGGAGAGAGTACAACCATGCAGCGTTTAAAGCGTGGAAGTAATCACATTACTTTGAGTTGGATTCTGTAAAAAGTGACAGAAACATTAGCGTCTGCTGTTCCCTCTGCGTGGGAAGAAAACTTCTACAGCGACAAATGAAACTTAAATCTGAGCGAGCAGTGAGCACGCTGCCACGGGAACGTGACACTCGCAAAGAAACCCCCGGATCCTCCCACTGACATGACCGCTGTGGGCAAACCTCCACCCGCCCCACTCCTGCTAAACAGCTGACAGTAGATTTAAGAGCTGCTGAGTCTTTGATTTTATTCATTTTCTGCTGTGTTTTACTTGCATCTATTTGAAAGAGTGCAAACACAAAACGTGATTTTATTTTATACGCTGGAATATGCAGAACATCGGTTTAAATGTTAAACATTTCTTCCCGTCAAAGACAGTTGAAATAATTTAATTCGTGCTTGAAGCATAAAGTTAAAAGATTAAATCAATTAAAACAATTTTAAAAAGAGACTTTTTCATTTGATTACATTTTATATGATGGATTATGCAGAAAAAGATCTATGACGTTATTACGTATTCAGGTTGTGTATCAAGTTTTAAAAAGTAACTAAGTAATGAAGTAACTAATTACATTTGAAAATAAGTAATCACTAATTAGTAACTAATTCCTTTTTTCAAGTAACTTGACCAACACTGCTCATATGAAAGTACGTCGGAGCGAGTAGACAAACTGTTATTGACCAGCACATGAAGGGGCTTCAGAGGGTCGCACGTCTGTGAAAGCACGCCTCAATTCAGCCTCACTGGGGAGCAGACTGGGTTATATCGATTTATCGACTGAAATCTAGCTTGGATAACGTAAAATCGATTAATTAAAATCCTGAATCGATTTTTAAATTTTTATGCAATAAATATACACTTTAGGACTCGGGGTAAAGGGATCAATAACAATTTAAAATTTATATTTTGATGATTTAAAGTCTCACACACAACCCGTGGAAAGGGGAGGGGGGCGGCTGCTTCCAAATAGAGCACGTTTCATTCATAATGTTGTAAATCCAAGCCCATTATGTATTCATGATTTGAATCCTGGGTTGAAAGCCATCAGGTGCTCAGTTTAGAAAAAAGAGAAAAGAAGAGGAGGAGAAACGAGCAACAGATGCAGGTAAACAGATGTGTGATTGGATAATGGCAGGTCATCCTGAACCAATCAGAGTCAGAATACTTTATTAATCCCTAAGGAAATTATTTGGGTTACAGTTGCTCCAAGAAGAAATGGTAAAAATAGTAACAGTAACAGACTAAACTC